ATGAAACATGTAGAGGCCACTGGTGTGCAGTTTTTGAGAAAGTTCCACGTTGTTGCTCAATTGTCCTGTGGCACAGGGCTGAGCACACTGGAATGTTGTTTTTTCAATAAACAGCCTAGACCTGTGGGAAACCACCTTTTTTAATTATAAAATAGCTGCAGTCAAACTTATCGATTATAAACTATTGAAGACCATCCATAACTGTATTGAATTATGTTTGAAAATGAGATTCAAATATATTTATTATAGAGCGCCATAAAGCTCCCAGTATTCATAAATTCCTATAGATTTATACCCGATATATGGGCCCTTATTACATGAAAACTCAATGAAAATTTAACTTCCTATATACCATTCGATGCGCCTTAAAATTTTCTACAAAGCCATATATAGGACATCCTTGTGCCAACTAGATCACCAAATTCGACAGGGTCCTTTAAATTAAATTTAAATTTAGGCTGATTTTAAAATTTTAAAAAATTTAAATTTTTGAGTGCAAACAATTGAATTTTCATTAAATTTAAATTTAAAAAATTTTTTTTTTAATCTAATAAATTGTTTTAATCCGCGTTAGTCATCGATATTTGGAAAATACATGACCTAAGCAGTAATACATGAGAAGTAAGAGAAAAATCTAGTATGTAAGTTCAGCGTATGCTCATAAATATGGAAATTTCTGAATAAATCATACATGATTTCTGAACTTCAATCTTCCATATAATAAAGACGCTCAAACATCCAAATTTATTAGCACAATTCATAGAGAAAGGCCTATTTTTATTTCTAGAAAACTCGAAAAAAATTTGACTTGTAACATCTTCAATAAAGTCAAGATCGATTTGAGTCATCTTTTCCTAAAATTTTCCCACTGTGAATTCAAAAAACTTAACTTGAGTTTAACTTTTCACTTAAAAAATTTTTTAAAATTAAATTTTCAAAAAATTTATTTCTTGATTTAATATTTTTTTTAAATTTAAATGTGCTACCTCTAAATAATGATATCCTAAGAACATTCTAATGTTATAAAAGTTAATACGATTATTTTTATTTAATTGTCGCATCACCGAAAATGTAAAACTCATTTAGAAAATTTTCAAAGCCACTTCATCCAGTGATCGAGCAGCTTTGAAAATCACAGAAAATAGTCGCAAAAAATACTGAATGAGTCGTACACTCTACATAGCAGCGAATTTTGCCTTTATCTCTTCTTGTTTTTCTTAACTAAAAATTTCTTCAGAAGTCGTCTCCTGAAAGAAATTGAGTCTCATTTAGTAGCAACTTTTTGCACTTTAACAGAAGGATTTTGTCAGCAAGTTTTTCAGAATTAAATTATTTGTTCCTTCGAAGTGCGTCTTCTGTCCATCATGTAGATCTAATAATTCCATATTAGAGCATACATTTACGTGATTAATTAAATAACATACTAAACTACATCACTTAATTCAATCAATGTACCCTCTCGTTTATATGCGACGAATTGATCGGTCACCTAATATATATGTATTTGAAACATGTCACTCGGGCAAGGTAGTTGAATTAAAAATATCTATTAGGGTTTCTAACCAATAGATTATTAAAATATCATGAATCAGATTGTAGTTTATTGATCATTGATTCATGAGAAAAGGAGAAAGAATATGAGAATGATATAAATTGAGTATCTTTACAGACATTTTTTGTCCAACAGATACGTTTGATTTGTAAGAACGTGACTCAGAATATACATTTTTTATGAGATTTTATTTATTATAATTTTTTCTTCTCTTACCTAAAATAATTATAGTTATGAGTTCCAAATGAAAAAGAATTTGGTCTTTTGGTGAAACTAAACTGATGAATGGCTCTCTTAGGATAATCTATTTTTATAGATAATAATTCGTAATTATTTGTACTAGAATGTAATGTTTAAGATAAATTTTCTACTTAATAATAAAATGAATATTTTGTGAAACTCACATATTTTTGAAGAAAATAGTGAGCGGAAGTTTATATCGAAGTCGTTGCGGCTTCTTTCTCTTCAGGCCCTAGCAAACGTAGTTAGGAGAAGGAGAGTCAAAGATCATAAGGTACATTTCCCTAGCAACAGGAGAAGGCGCATCAGTATTAACAGTGCTTAGATCATCCTAGAAATTGCTAAAATCTTCCAAAGTGTTCTATGAATCTAAGGTTTCTACTACAGACTCTAAATAGTCTAAATAATGCAGGTTTTCGTATTTATTACATCGAGAAGATGTGATTGTCGGTGTCAATTTGTAGGATGGTGGTATTGTTACTTTAGCAGAGTCAAAATTAGACAAACGTAGAAAATATGGACTAATTGGATTTTAAGTTTAGCCAAAACTCAATAGTATATGTCAAAGTTCATTGAGAGAAAGGATAGTGCGCTTAGAGCTTTATTGAATGATTACGCTAATGTGTATACCAAGCTAATATGATGGTTGAACCAACAAAACGAAGAATAAAATGATATTTGCCATTTTCTGTAACATGTACCGTGTATATTTTCATTAGGAGAAAACAATTTATACCTTGAAGATACATCTGACAATAAAAATAAGTTTTTCAGTATAAGATTTTTAAATGAATTAAATAAATGGTTTGTATAGTTATTCTAAATGCAAATATTTTCGAAATGATAAAAATTTTAGAGTCCATATCCATTATAAAAATGATGATCATTTCGCTTTATTCATTTATTTGACATTTTTTAAAATAAATTAATTTAACTCCTTTGATACTATATTATGAATACGTTTTGACTGACTTTATTTTCCCATGTAATCCTGATGGAGACCAAGGCTGAATTTTTGGACGAAACTAAAAGTTATCAGAGGATTTGGTGATACATATATATCGACTTAATTTTTTAATCTGATTCGATAAATATGATTTGTTTTGATTGAAAGCCTGATTATTCGGATCGAAATCCATCAAATATCAATCGTAATAGGTAAATTTTGGTAGTTATGAACATTGTGCGTGTTACTTAACTATATTGACTACAAATTAAGCTCAACGCAATACTATAATTTTACAGATCTTTGAAAAGTCTACCGAATGATATATATTCAAGGCGAGTCACTGCTTTCATAGCTCAAGAGAGAAGAAATTTTGTCATGAGTGTCTTCGTATTGTAGATACCAAGTGAACAATATCATCTAAAAGAAAAAGGGACAGAACTTTCATTTGGTATATTAGACAAATGAAAGGAACTGAAGAGGGAAGACAAACTTTCCATACAAACACTACATTATATCACACAGTAGAAGATCGATAACATCATCGAGTTTTGAGTGAAGAATATGCAACCGCAATGAAGTCTATCGGTCTAATTAGAGTGGCGATTGACTTCTGATATCTGAATCGATTCTTGGTAAAATAAGAAGTTTAATTTGTAATGAAGGTCGATTTCGTTGCTTAACGAACCCCATATCCTTGTCAATAGTCTCAGTTTGTGACTTTCACACTGTGGGTCCACATGAAACCGTATTAATAAGTTTTTCTTGGCTATCAGAAAAAGTGCAAACCAACGCAAAAAAATGGTTTTATTAATATATTCATTAGTAAGTATAAAAATAATTTATGAGTACTTTTAATAATCGACATTGACAGAGCTGACATGGGTTGTTGAATATCTAATCCCTTTTTTTTTCTATTTAATTAAGGGAAATAGTCAAGTAGACTAAAAGCAAAAATGTCGCGCTATATCTATTTTGCAATGTCGAACACTACTACAGTTTTGCCATTGTATATGCTATTCTAAAGAAAAATTTGATACAAGTTTATTATAGAAAATTGGCACTACAATAAAATAAACATTAACTCATTCCGTTAAGAAAAAATATTATCGTCAGATAAATTAAATCAAGATCTCATGTTTTCAAATGTTATAAGAAGTTTTCTGTAGATTCTATATTTAGTAAAGAATTTGTCAATCTGGTAGACAAACTCTATTAAATCAGCGTTATTATTCTATTGTAACCTCAACAACAGCAATATTGAATCACAGCATAGGCCGAAAATGTTCATTTTTGTTTCTGAAATCATATCTAAATCTTGCTATAGGTTTTGTTTTTCAAGTTGACTCTGTTGAAATATATGAGAATCCTTCCATAATTCTTAATTTTCTTGCATAACAAGAAAAATAAATGTTCAAATTTTCTCTCGCATGAAGAATATACGATAACAATAGAACGATGAAGGCACATGTACAGAATCTATCGATGTACGCTAATGAACCAACCTTAAGGAAAATTTAGGAAAATAATATCCTCTACAAAACATTTTTTTATTTAGAAATTCGAATGAAGAAATGTTAATTTTGCACCAATAAGAATGTAAGCTTCGTACACAGATTTTGTGAATTATTTCTTGATAAAAATTATCGAAACAACTTCTTTCATTTAAATATGCGATGTATTGCTTTTGAAGATGAAACCTACTTCTATTAATTTCTTATTAATAAAGATACAGTTTTTAATATTATCTTTTTTGTGTGTTAAGTTAATTGATTTTTCTTGAACCTTCTTCGAATATGCGGACGAAAAAGTGCATCTAGCTTTTTGTTTATTTTGATAAGAGGCGAAATTGTTTCAAGATTTTATCTCCGTTTGGAGAAAAGTTTTGTTTTAGCAGCAGATTCTGCACCTCTGAATACAAGTGATTAGCAATAGGTTTGAATGAGTATGTGAGTAACAATAATGTTTGCTGATTTACTATATTCATAGTATGAAAAATAAAAACTTTCAAACTTTCGAAAAAGACAAAAAGAAATGAAAAACTTGTACTCCAAAATGCTGTGTATTGTTTTCAATTTCTTTCGTTGATCTAAAATTCCTGAAATTTTAAATAGTAATAGAAGTTATAATGATTTCTAAGACAGTATGCTTTCTATTATTTACAAATATTTTATTAATCATCCTTAGTTACAATCATTTTGTTCACTAAAAAGAACTTTTCAAATGTGAATTTTTGTTTTCCAATAAATAAATATAAAAGAAATGAGTGATACAAGTATCATTTCGAAAGTATCTTCATATGATGTTGAGAATAGAAGAAACACAAATCAAAAATATTATTCATCATGTTGGAATCAATATTGGTTTCATATAACTACTTCATTGCTTTCATTGATTATTTTAATCACATCTAGTCTATTAGGATATGATTTATATAAACAAGTACAACAGGATCGAAAACGTCGCCGTATCCAAAAAGAATTTAAACGTAAACATGGTCTTGCAAGTAAAGTTTTAGATATGGTGAAAAAAGATAGTGTAATTGCCAAATGGCTCAAAGCAAATAAAGGTCAAACATTAAAAATATTCACAGAATTAATGAATGATATGGTGGAAACAATTTTTGGTGAATAAAAAAAATCTTCAAATATTTCAAAAACACGTTTCTATCTTTAAAAAAAAAACTACAAATGATATGTAATTCTTCATATTCGTTTTGGAAAATAAAATCACTTCATATTATTTGTGTTCCTACGTAGTTACTGTTGTTTTATCTTTGATTATCACGCTTATTGTTACTTGAACTTTCAGTTGCCCTAATTGCAGTATGTGTTTTAATAATCGAAAATCTTTCCAGTTAGCGATAATAAATGTTTGATTAAAAGAATGTCATTCGTATGAGTGGTATGAATAAGAATGAGACTTGTCCAATGAGTATCGGAATAGAGATGAAATCGTTTTAGATGCCTAACGAATGACCCTAGCTCGATTGACAAATATCATTCAATCATCGTTAATCAGTAGCTTATTAATTGATAAGTGTACAGCCAAATGTATGATTTGAGAAAATTCACGATTAGAGATCTCCGTGTACATAATGATTTGGTTACGATTATTATATAGTCACAAAGGCTTTTCGGATTCTCTAAAGATTTCAATTATACAGCTTTTGAAAATGCTTTCTTAGGCATTAATGTCATCAAAATTGACTCTAGCTCATCAATACGCCATAAATTTTGAACAAATGATGTTGAAAATTTCAAAATCTTCGATTTCGGTATGGCGTTGATCTTTGACATTGTTATGGAAACGAGAAATCTGATCACAGTCACGCATGACTGCGATGGGTATTTATGATCACTTTGTAGATATTTATTTATGGTACTTCATGGTTCTTATATTACAGTTTAGTCATTCATATTCATTCCGCTATCTTATTAGTTGATTAAAGTTTAAGCTCCATATATCTTTGCCATAGAATCCAGAAAAGGAACGGGATACTTTAAAACTGGACTCATATGCTATTCTTATAGTTAAATGTTGGCAAATATCTGTCTGAAACCTTTATTTGTACCAGCTTCATTTCAAATACCAGCCGCGATGACTCTGTAAACTGAAAAGATATTTTAAAAAGTATTGTACTTAAGTAAGTAGTTTCTATTTGAAACCAAAACTAACAGAAAAATGTTACTTTGGCTAACATTTCAAATGAGACAGTACCTTTTTGTAATTGATGTATGTTTCACATGAGAAATAGAAGAAATACACTAAAGCCTCCTACAATAGAGACGTTCAGAGAAAAAGTCAATACATTCCGCGAGTTATCACTCTGAAAAGAAGTTTGTATTCAGATTGACTTTTTCGTTGTTTGATAGAAGTCTTCATTTTCAATCATTTTTCATTGATTTATACATATTTTAACTGAAGAACACTGCTATTTTAATCGAAAACCTATAAGGTTAGGAACGAATTTGTATTCTGTTTGAAAGCTAATGCTTCTTTAGTCAAATAGAACGCTACATATACTTTTGTTTATTGCTTGTCTGACGGCACCTATTTGCATCTCGTCACAACTCATTAGACAGTCAACAAAGAATGGCGATTCTATCATAAATTATCATAATACTAATGTTCAATTTATGGCACAGTTTTACTTGAAAAGCAGCCAAGATTATCATTTCTAAATACGATTATCTTCGACTTCTTTTAACATTTTCTAAATATATATTTTATTAACGTTAACATGTGACACTAGGTTTTTGCTAGTCTGTAAAAAATTAACTCATTAATATTAGTCTTTTTCAGACTTTTCGTAGTCGTGTGATCTTTTGTTCTTCTTTTTTCTTTCTCTGTCTATTTTCTTTCAATTTTATGCTGTTCAATAGTAGTTTAACTGTTAGAGTTATTATTATGTCTCATTCATCAGGAGAACGTTTTTTCTAGCATTCTTTCATCTCTCCTTTCATCTTTTTTATTATCTTTGCCTTTGAAATGTATTTCCAATAAATTATATCTCATATCTTCATCTTCATAACGCAATCATGTGCCTGAAAAACATATGAACAAAGTTACGTCTTTATTTTCGTCATAGAATGAACTTGAAGAAACCAAAAAGGACTAAAAAATGAAAGCTAATATCTCAATCCATTGCTCGTTTAATAAGTTAGTACAAGTCATTGTACTAGCATGTCTAAAAATAATTTTAAAAATATTTCATTTAGACATTGGCGAACAAAACTTTAACATGAAAGATAAACCAGAAATAGTAAAAGATAACAAAGAAAAAATCTATATTCTAGCAGATGGTAACTAAAACGTATAGGAAAACGAAAGAATTAATGACAGAAAAATCAATATTGGTCATTCTATCCTGTGTTGGAGGAAAGTATCTTAGTTTTTTCGGCAAACAGGATCGACGAAACTGCTGTTGTTGGCTGATTTTTGACAATTTTCAACACAAAGATTTCATATGTCTAAAGATGAACGAAACATGACCTTAAAAGTGCTCGTTCGGTTGTCTTCTTTAAAAAGTCATATTTTTTATTTCATTTCTTCTTGCAAAGAGATAAATGCTTCTCATTGATCTTATTTATTGCACTACACAAAGATGCACTTACGAAAAAGCATTACCTGACAAGAAAATAGCTCGAACTCAAAACATGAAAAATAATTGAATCATGTGTAACAAAATTTTTACTTGGATTTATGCTCAGTTTTATACGAAATCTTATTGTATTAGCAATTGAAAGACATATTGATGTTTAATAAACAAATGTCTCATATGATGAAAAAAATATGTACAGATTTTCATTTATAAGAT